GGGGGGCGGGGGAGAGGGAGGAGCGAGGAAGAAGCACGTGGAAAGGGCACGGAAGGAAAAGAAAGAGGCCACCCGGGGATGGCGCACCTGGATGGAGTACGGCCCGGGCCACCGGCGCGGAGCTGGGTCCGCGAAAAAGGGCCGCGCCCGGCGCTGAGGGTTGTGCGCGAGGGGGCCCCCCTCGGACGGGCGGCGATACCGCTCCTCCAGCAGGGCCAGAAGCTCGAAGTATGCCGATCCGCTGGGCTGGGAATTGTAGATGCGTGCTGGGCTGTCGGCCGGCAAGGCGGACAGCCGGGTCCCGAGCAAGTCCAACAGCACGAGAGCATCCACATCGGCCAGGCGCCCGGGCGGCTGCCGGTCACCGGGCCGCGCGCAATACACATACCGGCCGAGAGTGGCCCAGGTCGAGGCCTCAATCATGCTACCTGGGGCATTGGCGGCATTGGCGGCATTGGCGGCGGCGGCGGCCACCTGCCGCGGGAGGCAGGTGGCCGGACGCCGGTCGGCCGGCGGCAGGATGGACAACGAGTTGGCCAGATGCCGGGCCCCATACAGCGAGTCGGTGGCCGACCACTCGGCGAAGGCCTCCTCCCCGTCGAAGAAGACAAAGCGCACTCCCAGGGAGGGCGGGTCCGCATGGGGGGCCGGCCCGGTGGCGGACTCCGGCAAGCCGGCCAGCAGCCGCGCCAGCAGCCGCGCCGCATGGAGCAGCGCCGCCACCGAGGCCGCGGAGTCCGACGCCCCGACAAATGCCTCGCCCCCGGCCGCCGGGTCGGGCGCAAACCACTTGGTGTCGTAGTGCGCGGCCAGGAGGAGCTGGCGCCCGGGGGGGCCCGGCACCCGGCAATACCCATCGCCGCCGGGGCACCGGGCCACGGCCGGCGTGTCGACCAGCAGGTTGCGGAAGGTCCGGCGGCCGTGCGGCACCGGCGCCTCGGCCCACAGGGAGTCCTGGCGGATGTGCCACCCGGTGAAGGTGGGCTGCGCGCCCACCTCGGCGCATGTGTGGCGATCGGTCAGCGGGTCTTCCTGAGCGATGCGCCCGATGCCGCTGGTGACCGTGGACCGGGCGCCGAGGGTGGCCTCGTCCGGCGGGCTGCCGGGCCCCCCCGGGCGCAGGGCCGCGCAGAAGGCCGCCGTGTGCCGGTCGACCAGGGCCCCGGGGAATTGCCGGAGGATGTGCGCGGCCGCCCGATCGCGGCCGGCCGTGCCAGACACACGCGAGTGGATCAATGGCCGGAGGAGGCCCCTGGGGGGGG